TTATTACTCCAAAATAATTTTTCTATCGATAATATAAAATTAATAATGGATGAATTTTATGACATCAATGAGACATAATTGCATGAGGAAGAATAATGACTCCTCATTATTTTATCACTATTCAATAAAAGGAAACGTAACTACAGATATCTTTAGCCTACTTTACATCATGTCTGCAGTGAAATAAATATTCGATTGAAGATTCGTGTGCAGTTTGATAGCTAACGATCTCTCGCTCATTTTCTCAGCTAACTTATACAGTAATTAACGCGCAGTAGGTCGCAGTTAATTTTATATCTATGTAAACGTTTGTATCTTAATACGATACAATCAGGCGTGTTTGTTTTAATTGCATTATGGCAAGATATAAACGATACGTGGACGTGAGAGTGCATTTTATTAAAGTCGATATATTTTATAAGCATAAAATAATCCAGAAACGAATAATAAGTCAACACATTTTTATATGCCAATTAATTCTGTTACGTAAAAGCGAATCTCCGATGAATCCAACAAAAGCGAAAGTCCAATTAAATCCTTCGTGTTCTTTTTATCCGAACCAATATACGTCCAGGTATAAACCGCTATGCGAAATAGACGAATGCGGGCAAATTTAATTGTCGGACAAATGTGGCTACAATTTTTCTCTACAAATGGAATACATTTTTTTCCAGAAAGTTCCCTTTAAAGATTGACAAATATGAATTATTTATTTATTTTTTACATTATCTTTTATTTACACACACGCAATATTACATGAATATAATTTTTTTTATAACGTGTAATTCATAAAAAAGACATTGACGTTTTTATCTAGAAATTATGTCATCGAATAATATTTTCTCGGAAATGATAAAAATAATTATAATGCTCCTCAACAACGTCAGACATTCCTGCCTTATATGCATAATATGAGAGTAGAATTAGAGAGTGCGACATAATATTATACTTGCAAATGAATTTATTCAACGAGTGGCAGTTCCCATCAATGTCCTTGAACTATCGTATGTTTTTAATTACAAATTCTTTATTCAGAGTGGACTTCCAAATCTGACTTATTTTTTTTTTTTTTTTTTTTTTTTAAGAATTCGGAAAGATAAATTTTAAAGTTAAAAAAAAATTAATATAATTTAATTTTTTGTCAACGTCATCAAAGTCTAAATTTTTTAATCGATACAATTAATGACATTAAAAATATTAAAATTTTCAGATTTAAATATCAAATTGAATGAAGGCATGATGTTAATACTCCCAAGATCCAGTTCGCCGTTCGTTTCGAAAAATCAAGAAGATATAGCATGGAATAATCACATACACACCAATTTCGCTTGCTTTGTCTTGCTTCGTTGTCCTGACAACGTTGCGGCTGCGATCGAAACGCTTCTTATCAGCGTACTTGTGGAACACTTCTTCTCTTGCTTTTTATCAGCTTCATTTTCATTTTTCTTTTGCCAAACGAATCGGCATGGCCAAATTCGTGAGTACTTATGAGAAGCCTCTACCTCATATCGGCCTGCCGGATTGGTACGCCAAGCAATGGGAGCTGCGACGAAGCGCGGACATTAGACGAGTCGAGGCCTGTCAACTACGGAATTCAGGCAAAAGTGTGCGTTCCGAGGGGAACGTGACAACGAAATGGGACACTTTAATAAATAATACTCGATTGATGGACAGGTGTGATGCAAATTATTTAACATCATTAGCGTAAACACTATAAAAAAATAACCGAATTTTTATCGGTTTTTTATTCTGCATACACAATTAATTCTAGTTCTAAAAAATATGTTCAAATCACAATCGATTTCAATCGATATTTATGAGAAGAAACATAATTTTCCGACGTAATATTTTATTTTGGCAGAATGACAGAATTATCGAGATGGAAAGACACGCTGGCGGACTTGTTACAAAAGTTATTAATCGAAACACGCATGCTAAGCGATGAGAAGGCCGATACGGAGAAGGAAATTGAAAGCATAGACCATCCCCTGCGAATTGTCAGCGAGTGTATTTCGATAAGGGACTGCCGTAGAGGAACCGAGCTCACGTATGACGAGACTGATGTCGAGCTGAAGAAGGAGCTCTGCGCGATCGCCAATGTTAAAGAAACGTTCACCAACAGGTGATTATCATACTGATGATGATAAAAAATATTTCTTATATTCTCGTTTATGTATTGCAGAGCACAGGCCGCGTGGGAAAAGTTAAATCACTTGGAGGACGTGAAATTTAAGCTGAGCTTAGATATAGAGGATAAAAATGAAACTATTAGAATAGATAAGGAAAACCTCGAATTGAATGAGACTTGTGCAAACATAAGCTACAAGCCGAGAACGTCAATTACCGAAAAAACGGAGTAAAGTATTGCTCTTTTATTTATTATATGATCATTATTGCAGCTAATTAGTAATCTAGTATCATATATTTATAGTTCTATTACGTACGAAACTTGGTTGGACCGATGTCAACGTTTAAAAATGTTAGCCGACAAGGAACTGAGTGACGGTTGCACTTTTCGCGAAGCTATGCGCGTAATGAAGGAATGTGCGCGAAATGATATCAAAGCTCAACAAGATGCGACGGATTATACTTTGAGAAAGAGGATTTATCAAACACAAAAAGCCAGGAATGAAATGGAATGGCAGAAGCTCAAGGTGTCTATAGTCAATCGTATCTTTTTACCTCGATTTTGGAAGATTTTAATATAAATGGATAGAATAATAGCTAATTTTATAATTTTACGCTAATGAGGTTATTAATTTTTAATTTAAACAGAATAAAAAATTAGAAGAATGAGTAATAATCACATAGAAGAAATATTGAAAAGAGGATATTTTCTCTCATCTGAATTTTTTAATCTAAATAGGTACAGAAGGAAATGGAAATGTTAGGAAAAGAAATAATCGAGTTGGAAAGAACATTGATGAATAAAACAAAGGTGGTAAAATGCGTCGAAACACGATTAGAAAATCGCGCGTATCGGCTTGGCTCGGAACTTTGTACGGATGAAGTTGAATTAGGATTGAAGAACGAAGTTCTGCAATTAAAACAGACTAAGAAGGATTTGATTCAGACTATCGAACATGCAAAGTATGTATTTGTGTCTGATATCATGGTTAATCATTACTGATCATTCAGCATTCATTTTCTTAAGCGTGATATTAAATTTATCTTTCAGAGCGAGCTACAATAGTTTGGAATCTTTGCTCATACGTATCGACAAGAATCTGGATGATAAACAGCACTCTCTAAACACTGATGTTATGTGTTTAGACACGAGATCAATGCTAAAGACAGGGGACAAATCAGGTTTGCCTAATGAGACAAACCGTAATATTGTGTTAACACGCATGGAGAAAGAAATTCCGCTAGAATCTTAATTTGGTTGTTTTATCTGTCTGTATTTCACTCCCAATTTCTTTTTTAAAATACGGTAACTTTGTAGAAAGCTTTATCATACTTAATATTTTTAGATTTTGTAATATTGTCAATTTTTTATCTTTATAAACAGATATTTATAATATACAAAAAAGTGAATGTATTTGATTAAAGTTATATTAAGACAAAGAGGCATTAATCTAAATTCAAGCAGTTGTAAACTACCTGTGATAGAAATAATTTTTGGTTCAGAAATAATACTCGATAAGCTGTACATTTTGTTTCTCTGACACTCAGCAGACATAAATGTAATATACAGCTCGCTGTATATATATGTTTTTCTCTCTTTTTAATCTTCTTTTACAAATTTTATATATGTACAAAATGCACATTTTTTTTATAATAGAAATACCTTTTCATGTTACTTTTTCACATTACGTTTTCATCATCTGTCATAAAATTGGAAGATTCCTTGTTGCGTCTCCCTTTCCTGGTCTCTTAGAGACATCTCTGAAACATTCAACATTTGATAAATATAGAATAAATTCGCTTTAGATGCTCACATGATCAATAATTGCTTACTCAAAGAGAAAATGATTAACATTAATGCTTATAAGTTAAAAACGCATGAGCCTCCAAAACGTGTTCGACTCGTGAACACAAACTAATCTAACTTGTTTCGTAAGACGAATAGAACTTAATTCTCGTCAACTATCTCGATTCTTTTCATCCGCTCGGAGATTATATCTTACGTTAGTACCGCTTCTTCACAAAGTATGTCAACCTCTGAAAATTTTTAGAGAACACTTGGAAAAAAATATTTATTCAAAGAAATTAGTTCTCTCTCTCTCTCTCTCTCACACACACACAAAATCGAGCACGGTAAAATATAGTGAATATATCTGTTTTATCGGTAATCGAAGCATTCCATTATCGTGCGAGGAAAGTTACTGGCTATCGAAATATTAGAGTCCTCATAAAAATACGGCGGAAAGATAACTTGTAAAGTGCTGCCCTCTGAAGAAGAATAAATTTATCTTAAAGTGCGATGAGAACCACAGATGGCACCACTACCCCTGAAATTGTGGCGTTCCTGTGGCAATATTTCATACTATTTTATTACTGTTGCCACAGGAACGCCACAAAATCGAGTTTAGTTTTTTGAATCTATATTTGGTGTGTATCTAGTGCATATTTTTCTTTTAATTTTTACTTTTCTAAAAAGTGCGCTATTCGTGAGTATTTGGAACGAGCGAAAACAATGCGGAATGATACGTATCATTATAGAGAGATATATCATTGTATATTTAAATTACACAACACACAAATTACAGCGTAAACATTATGGACAGACCGCAAGAAGTCGAGAGTAAGAGGTGCGTACAAATTTGATATGCGCTTTAAAGCGGCGCTCGTCGACTCTATTACTGCATATTTGCAAAAATGAGGTATATTTCGCATTTATATATATATAAGATAAGAGTAATCGTAAAAAGTCGATCCCTCTCGACAGTGGGTGGAGGACAAGCTAGGAGCGGATAAACCACTATCAACGAAGAGAGGATAAAGGGGGAGGAGAGGGAGACGAGAAAAGGAAGAACGGAAGACGGAAAGGAGACGAGGTAAATCGGGCGGCGAAAAAAAAAAAAAAAAAGAAAACAGATAAACACATGTCGCGACTGGGACACGAGTGAAGGATTAAACGACGACGGCGACGACTCGAAAGAATCGATTCGGAAAGATGCGGTGACAAGATAGGTAGGCGGATAGACAGAGATATAAATAGACACGTTATATATATATATATATACTTCGCTTTTTCCGTCTAACGCTCGACTACGTAACTACATAACGATCCGATCGATCGATCATTATTACAACGATTCGCGCGTTGTATACAAAGCGTTGACTATAGACAGAATTTTTGGCCTCCTGCGCGCGCTCCCGAGGTGAGACATGCTCGTATCGGAACGTAACGGAACGTCCGGGATACGCGAAATCGCTTTTCGCCGACGCCTTTCTCTCTCTATCTCTCTCTTCTTCTATCTCCTTCTATCTAATGCGATGTCTTCGGAGCGCCAGGGACGGATGGTAACTTTCTTGAGACTTGAAATTAATAGTCCAAGTTTCTAACAAGATATTAAAAGGAAAAAGAACGAAATAGATATCGGTTTGTTCTTTATAGAGAAATCTAAACGAAAATATACACAGACCAGTATAAGATATATACAGACGAGTCAATAATTAGACTTTGAAATATATTCATCGCAGATAGTATGTTTAAAAGATATTTTCTTTTTAAAAAAGAATATATTAAAAAAATTGGCATAAAAGAAGTTGTTTAAGAACAAGATTCCCTTCGCTATATAAAAATTTTGGAATAATCTTTGAATTCTTAACCCAGTAACGGGTGTTGAAAGAATATATAAGAAAGAAAGGTAACAAAGAAAAAAAGAGATATTTTTTTTGAGAATTATCTCGAGAGACTTTCAGTGATTTAACGCTCTCAAAATCTTACTCCCTTACGTAGATTCTACGTCCCTGGCTATCGCTACGAGTTCGTCCGTTACAAGCCCTTGCTTTTCGCGCGAAAGTGTTTACGCCTTTCGCGCAAAGCACGATGAATGACGAGCGATGGATGGATCGGCTCGGGCCGATCGGAGCACGCGTGAGAACGAATTATTCCCGGCCCATCGCTCCGCGGTAATATACAGATAATATTACACACTAGCTACACATGGCTATCTCAGATGCGTATCTTCTTTCCTTCATTTTTCTTTTCTTTTTTTTTTTTTACACGTATACACAAGCACATACATAGACTACCGCGTGTGTGTAGAATACTATAATATAAATACACATACTCGCATATAGCACACGGATGCAACATTCGCCCGTACACACATACACGCACGCACGCACACGCACGATCGTCTTATTATCTCTTCAAGATTCTACGCGAATTTGTACACGTGTAGGAGAAGAGTCAAATACATTTTTTTGATTAGCGGAAAAAACAACCTCGCGAAAAATATGCGGATAAAGATAGCAGAATTTCTGATTACGTATGATCCAAGTTAAAACATTATTATCTGTAAATGTAAATATGTTTCTTCTCTTTCTCTCACTTTTTTTGGTTCAAAAGAGTTTTTAGCCTTTTCATAGATGCGACTCTCGACACGCACAGAGAGAGAGTGAAAAAAGGAAATTGAAGATGTACGGAGTTACATTCTTTAAGCGATTCGATCGAAAAAATTGCACAAACATCGAGATGAACTTAGTTATGTCCAGATTCGAATGTTTCGAAATAAATACGTTTCGACGTAAAAGATCGTTAAAATGCGAAATGTTTTTGCTTTTATTTTGCGAGAGCACCAGCTTCGCTTTTCTAGTCGCGCACGACTCGACTCGGCTCCGGGCTTATTCGTCGACGCTACAGTTACACGTAGATCGTATAATGTCTCTCACTCTCGGATTGTGTCCGTGAGTGAGCATATAGCGCTATGACGAAATATATCCTCGCGATCGCCACCCACACCGAGGATGTGTTTCGTCATAATCGGTTAACTGAAGAGTTATGAACGTAAACCGAAGCAATCAGAGTCGAGACGGCTCGGCTTCGAGAGATAGCCCCGATCGATGCTCCGTCGATGTATGTATATTGTATATTGCGAATCGGGACCGAGACGAGATCGGGACCCGAAGCCGGAATCGTATCGCAAGAGCGAGAATTTGATTGCACATAAACGAACGTGATTCAACGATCGTAAGGATCAGTTTTAAAATAATCACTGAGCTTGTATAATCTTTCAAGGGATTACAAACGGGAAAACAGATCCGCGTGTGATAACAATGTAAACACATGCAATTTTTGTTAGCGATATGATGCCATAGATATCGTTCTGTTTTTAGAGACAAGAGAATAATACTTGAAAAAATAGTGTTTACTCTTTATGTAATTTCTACGCATTTCTGTGCGTATCACTCGACGTTCTCCGATTGACGGATTCGAATCGAAAGCTCCGCGCCTCCGAAAGCCCGAATGGCGAAAAACCGCGCAACGCGCGTCCAACACGGGTAGTCGAGAACGAACGGGAAGCAAAGAAAAGAGCTCTTCTCTCTTTTTGCCTCTCACTCTTTCGCTCTTCACTTGGTGTGCTGCTTCGGGAGGTGCCGCTTCATGTGCAGCGCGAGATGATCGCTTCTGGCGAACGAGCGCTCGCAGACCGCGCATTTAAAGGGCTTAGCCCCGGTGTGCTTGCGGTAATGCCGCGTCAATTCGTCGCTCCTGGCGAATCGCCACTCGCATTCCGGCCATTGACACTGATACGGTTTCTCGCCTGAAACAATCAATAAGACAAACATGGAATAAAAACAACACGTAACAGTTCAATATACATTTGAGTATTATTAAGTTAGTCAGAATCACACTGTACAATTTCTGTAAACTACAAGTATAAGAATCAAGAAACAAAATGTTTTTCGAGACATCTGATTTGAAAACTTTCATCAAGTAAACAATCTTTAAATTTTTTTTTATCATTACTTCTCAACGTTATATTATTCTGTCCTCTCTTTCTAAAATTCTCTTTCACGTTCAAGATGTATATATACAATATCTAATAAAATGTTCTTTCTTGCATTCACAGAATTAACGGACGGAGGATTCTTTTTCCTGAAAAGAGAGTATATATCGTACTGAGATATACGTATCAAGAATCGAGCTGTTTCGAGAGAGACCGGCGACCTATTAGAGAACAAAGCGTTTGCTCTTTGCGAAGATAGAGCTACGGGATGCTGTATAAGATACCCTCGACGCGCGCGCGCGCGCGCGTCCGCCTCTCTCAGCTGCGAGAGATGCAGCACGGTGTGACCTTTAACTGTACCTGCATGCCGCAACACGCTCACCTGTATTCTAGCGCAATCGCGGCGGCCGGTCCGCGAGCGAACGAGCGAGCGATCGGTCGAATGCAACCGATCTGCTAATGCGAGCCAACATGCCTGCATTCCGCTTAGCTTCGCTGATTATCGGAGAACGCGCCTTGCTTATTGTATTATCTACGAGCGATAGGATTAAGAGGCTCATCCGCGCGATTGGATACTAAAGATATGACGGCAAATATTTAGGCTATCAAAGCCAGAATGGAATAAATTCACAATCTGTATATAAGCTTGTGATTCGTTCTATATATAAAGTAAAGGAGGAAAACTTTGTTTAGAATCAAAGTGTATTATTTAGCCTACAATTTGCAAAGTTCAGATACGGCTTTGTGTTGAGGGAAATTAATAAACAAATTAGCGAGTAGCTATATACATATAACGTATTTGAGATTCTAATTCTCAAGATCGTAAGATCCGCTTCTTTAGATAATTGACCTTTTTGAAATGCATAATTACATCCATCATCAGTATTCTATATCTATCCATCTATCTCGTCTCTAGGAGCTATTCGCAAATTCGATCGCGACGAAAGGTCTCCTCGCGACGCGACGTGTAAGAAGCGAGCGAGTAAAGGCGATCGAGGCGGAGGATCGACGGGGACCAGGAGGAGAGACGGGGGAGGGCCGGGAGGGCGAGCATATATACATGAGAGGAGAAGAAAGAACTCGATAGCTGAGAGATACACCCACGCATCCTCCTAGCCCGTTCCCCGTCTCCCCCCTCGCACGCGCTATACGGAGACGACCCTAACCGGTCCTCGGCCGCAGCAACCGCCCTGCGCCGAGAGTTGCATTCAGCGCTGGCAGCATCGCGCCGCGCCACGCGACGCACAGCCCAAGGAAACGGTACTACTACCACACACGAACGCCCGCCATTTACGGTATCGCGCGTTCACGTGAGAATTCCTCTCCCGCGAATCTTCAACGACGAGAGAATGAACGATTCTCCGGCGAAATTTCGTTCCGAGATCGGCGGGCTTATCCTTACTCGACACGTTTAGGCTATCAAGTTATTTTCACGGAAACAAAGATATTTTACACAAAAATATAATGTTTATTATATACTATATTTTAGAATGTCCTTAAAAACTAATTGAATCTTTAATATTGTAATAATTATCTTTTTTGTATCGTAATTTCACTGTGAATTAGCGCTATGATAGAATAATATAACTCTATAACATTATATCCACACTTATATAATATAATACTTGATATAATGTAATGTGGAGAATGCAATCCATTTAGTAGAACGAGGTATGCGAAATAACATTTGAAATTCATCGACAACGTTGACACTTACAATTAGTATGTACGTGCTAAGATCTTTTTCATGTTATATAATAGTTTCTTTTATTTAAAAGAAATTTCCTGAAAATATACCGAGAACGCCGGTTCGTAATGTAATGTAATGTAATTTTTGCGAGAGCTCTTTTGAATTCTTCGATTCGCTGTATCATAATCATAATATATCGTGATATGTTGCGTTATACGTGTCTGACGCGCACGATGTCTCCCGAGCCGATCAGCCGATCCGGCGACACCTACGGGGCGTCCCCGTTAATTTTGGATCACTTTCACCCGAGAGCCGACGGCGCGCACCGCTTCGAGGAGACAAGTTGCTTTCCAAATACGCTTCCTAGCCGTACTTTGCTCCAGATTTCTTCCATCACCGCGGGCTTTCTCGCAAAGCCCGTCTCTCGGCGATTGACGATAACGCTTAATTGATTATTTTAACGTCGAAGAGCTTCTAAAAGCAAAAAACACCAAGACAAATTTAAAAAATCAATTGCTTTGATCGATTATTAAATTATAAATGGATATTATCTAGATTTATTATGGATTTTATATTATATGTATATGGATTTTTATATATCTCTGTATCGTCATGAAATCATATATATATGTACAATGTTGTATATGTAAAATTATATACGTATATATACAATTTTATATATATTATATATAACAATATTATATATATACTATATATATTATTACACACACTATATATACATATATATATATCATATGTATAGTAATATATATACATGAGAGGAGAAGAAAGAACTCGATAGCTGAGAGATACACCCACGCATCCTCCTAGCCCGTTCCCCGTCTCCCCCCTCGCACGCGCTATACGGAGACGACCCTAACCGGTCCTCGGCCGCAGCAACCGCCCTGCGCCGAGAGTTGCATTCAGCGCTGGCAGCATCGCGCCGCGCCACGCGACGCACAGCCCAAGGAAACGGTACTACTACCACACACGAACGCCCGCCATTTACGGTATCGCGCGTTCACGTGAGAATTCCTCTCCCGCGAATCTTCAACGACGAGAGAATGAACGATTCTCCGGCGAAATTTCGTTCCGAGATCGGCGGGCTTATCCTTACTCGACACGTTTAGGCTATCAAGTTATTTTCACGGAAACAAAGATATTTTACACAAAAATATAATGTTTATTATATACTATATTTTAGAATGTCCTTAAAAACTAATTGAATCTTTAATATTGTAATAATTATCTTTTTTGTATCGTAATTTCACTGTGAATTAGCGCTATGATAGAATAATATAACTCTATAACATTATATCCACACTTATATAATATAATACTTGATATAATGTAATGTGGAGAATGCAATCCATTTAGTAGAACGAGGTATGCGAAATAACATTTGAAATTCATCGACAACGTTGACACTTACAATTAGTATGTACGTGCTAAGATCTTTTTCATGTTATATAATAGTTTCTTTTATTTAAAAGAAATTTCCTGAAAATATACCGAGAACGCCGGTTCGTAATGTAATGTAATGTAATTTTTGCGAGAGCTCTTTTGAATTCTTCGATTCGCTGTATCATAATCATAATATATCGTGATATGTTGCGTTATACGTGTCTGACGCGCACGATGTCTCCCGAGCCGATCAGCCGATCCGGCGACACCTACGGGGCGTCCCCGTTAATTTTGGATCACTTTCACCCGAGAGCCGACGGCGCGCACCGCTTCGAGGAGACAAGTTGCTTTCCAAATACGCTTCCTAGCCGTACTTTGCTCCAGATTTCTTCCATCACCGCGGGCTTTCTCGCAAAGCCCGTCTCTCGGCGATTGACGATAACGCTTAATTGATTATTTTAACGTCGAAGAGCTTCTAAAAGCAAAAAACACCAAGACAAATTTAAAAAATCAATTGCTTTGATCGATTATTAAATTATAAATGGATATTATCTAGATTTATTATGGATTTTATATTATATGTATATGGATTTTTATATATCTCTGTATCGTCATGAAATCATATATATATGTACAATGTTGTATATGTAAAATTATATACGTATATATACAATTTTATATATATTATATATAACAATATTATATATATACTATATATATTATTACACACACTATATATACATATATATATATATCATATGTATAGTAATATAATTTATTTGTTATTACTTCGATAAATTATTATATTTTAGTTATAAGTCTTTAATTTCTTATAATATAATAATTCGAGTCGTAAATGAATTAATAACACGGAGTCGACCGCTCGTAGCACGGCGCATTCACAAGAGCAACGCGGCGAGGGTTCATTCACGAGTCGTCCGACCAAGCCGCGCGCGAGGGCCACGTGCCCCCCTCGACTTCTCTCCTTCACGTCGGAACGTTCCCCGGTCTCTGCGCGCCAGTATCTACGCTCGTATTCAAGATCGCGCGACAAATTGAAATATCCTCGCATAATCTCGTGAATCGATTGGTCCTCGACGTAGAAACCGATCGGCGGAGACCGTCAAGTCGCGATGAAAAATGATTGTAATGATGAATTAATTTAGTTGATGTCTAATCAAGAGACCGCCGATCCTTCGATTCAAATATTAAATTCAACATGGCAAGAACGAATTAATCGCAGATGATGATTAATCTAAATATAAATATAATAGAACTTTTGTTAGAGATAACGAAATAATCTCTTTCCTCCAGATTAATTTCAGAGCCCGATTAGAGAAAATTTATCAAATATATTATAAAAATAATTTCAAAAATGCAAGATTTTTTATGGCAAAGCCTCGCTTACATTTGCATTGGAGTCTCCGATTTAATTTCTAAATTAAACGATACGTATCTCTCATCCGACTCGTCACGTACGTGCCGCTCGTTTCGTTCGATCGACTCGTTCGAGGCGATGACACGGGTTTACCGCAAAAACCCGCCGAGCTATCAATTCGAAAGTGGTACATCGCACTTAAGATGCCTCCGGCTTGCATTCCGCGAGACCGCCGCGTAGGCACGTGTGCGGGAAGCACATTTCTCCCTCTCTTTCTCTTCTCTGTCTTTCTTCAGCTGTCTTTCCCTCTCGCGCTTTCGCGTAAGTCCCGACGCGTGTGGGAACCCAGTATGCGTGTTCGCCCAGGTAGCAAACACCGGCGCGGTGTTGGTGCCGTGGCTTAACGTTCATGTGTTGGCGGAGCTTGGACACGAATAGGATGTGGGTCGGTCGACTAGCTTCGCTCTACCAGCGAAGCGGAGAGTCGCATACCATAAGAGCTTCGTATGCTTCCCTTACCGCGTTTACATATGATAGAAGCGCCTTTGCGCGACACCGCGGGGAGATGGAAACGAAGAGAGAAAGAGAGAGAGAGAGAGAGAGAGAGAGAAAGACGCTCAGGACCGCGCCCTGCCCACGCGCGAGCACTGAGCGCTCGACCTCGCGCTTTCGAACTCCTCGTGTCGTCTCGCTACGTCTAAATGAGCTACATACCTAATTAGCCGGATAATACACGGAGGCCTCTCCCCTTAATTTTAGCGCCCGCTCACTGCTCGTGTTAGCAACAAACGTGTACGTGATACAGTACGTTTTTCACTCACCCGTGTGTATCCGCTGATGAGCCTTCAAGTGCGAGCTCTTCGTATAGACCTTTGTACAACCTGCAAGAGGAAGTTGTTGATTTAAGTTTGCTCAAAATTAGAAACTCGAGCATCTATAAAACGATTAATGGAGTTTAATCTCCTTAATTTTATTTTTTTAAATCTGTATATTATCGAATACTATTATATAAATATAAGATGTTATCAAAATACTATCATACGAGATCTTTTTTAATTTTCACGCGAATAGACACTATTGAATCGAGGATTAAAGTCATTTGTACGTGCTTACCTACGAAATCGCAATGGTGAACTCGGCGCTTCTCCAGCTCCGGGTTATTCCGCCTGTTGAATTTGGACGACATCGACGATGACTGGATCCTGTGGGCTGGATTCAGGATCGGGCCAGGCTGGGGATAAGGGGGTGGCGGCGTCCGTCTTGGTGGACCGATGGGCGAGCCGGGATCGGAGATCGGTGGCGTCAGCGGTGAAATATACATCAGCCTCGTCATCGAGCCATAGAGCGGCGACGTCGCGTTGCCACTCGCCTGATGATGACTCGTCGTCGACGAGTCACCATTACCGTTGTTACTATTATTGTTGTTACCATTGTTGTTATTGGCGTTGCTACCGTTATTGCCGCCGTTCCCGCTCGCCCCATTACTATTAACGGTTCCGTTATTGTTGTTATTATTGTTATTGCTGTTATTGTTGTTGTTGGGAAAGTTCTTGAAGAGCGCCGTCGTCGTCGTCGTCGTCGTTCGATGATGGACAACGTGTTGAACACTGGCGGGATTCGGAAAGGGATTCTGCGCGGGATTCGGTCCCTCGAGAAGGTGCAAGGTCGGCGGGGGCGGTAACGGCTCCGTCTTGATCTCCACCGGAGACAGGACCGGCGGCGGCGTCACATCGTCCGTCTCCAGTTTCACGTGGGACTGCGAGCCCAGCATGTCCGCGTTCTCCGGGTCCAGCTTCTGGATACTCGACGTGATGTCCTCCCAGAGCGGCGGCCTGAGGAACACGTCGTCATCTTGACCGGCGGCCGTCGGTTGACCCCTGGCGGAGACGAAGCTGGTCTGCGGTGGCCGGCACACCGTCGTAGGACCGCCGACCTCGAAGAAATCCTCCATGTGCACCGACGACGGCTCCCGCGCGTCTCTCGCGTCCGATTCATCCTCGTCCAGCCTCTGCAAACGATCGAGATCCTGCCTGCACAGCAAGGTGTCCAGGTCCGACGTCTGCTGGGAATAGAAAAGAACAATTCTTTGTGTATATAATTTTTCAAATATATTTAATTTTTTAATAAAAATATTTCTTCGATAAATTTATTCTATATATATATTATTTGATTATTAGAGTATATAGATGAAAAGGTAAATAAATAAATATATAATTCGATGACTAAAAATAAAATTATTTTACACGATAATGAATGTGTGTGTGCGGTGCGGTTAAAACTCCCTCGGCCGTCCCGAAGCCGCGTTAAGGTTGTAAAGGGCGCGTATACCGAGAGAAAAGGGACCGAGAGAGGACGAAAGAGTGACTTGCGGTATGGTGATACGCGCGGTATGGCGAAGGTCCCCGCCGCGGGTCGGGCCCCGTTAACATGCACACACAACCGCCGTCTCGCCCTACGACGTCCAGCACGCGCGAGGAGGTGCGACGGAACGCGGGGATGATGCTGGCGATGCCGCGTCATCCTTCGTATGATTTGTACACGAGCATCGCCGCCCTCGCGCGCCCGATGCTACACCGCTCGCTGTCTCTCTCTCTCTCTCTCCTCCTGCTCCCTCCTCCCCCTTATTTCCTCTTCACGCTCCATTGTCGAAAGACGACGAATGCCACCTCGGTACAGTATAGATGTTCGCTGCATATATAACATTCGAATGATGCCTGCAGGAAACCCTGGGATCTCGACGACATCGTCGACGACGACGACGATGGCGTTGATGTTGTACTCGTGTCGTCGAGTATCCAAGACGAATCTTTAATCTTTACGATTTTACAACATCTTCGTACAAAGTCGAGTCGAGAAAGATAAAATTATTTATTTGGAAAAAACACACGTGTGTTCCTTTTACATTGAAAAATTTTTAAAAATAAATTAAAAGAAAATATTCTCGGAATCGATATTTTTATTCAAATGTTCAATTATCAATAAGGGAGAGAGGAGATAAACGCGAGTTCTATGCATGGGATTTTTAAAAGTATGATTTTATTCATACGTTGGTAGAAATTCGTTTAAAAATATCGCGTGGCAAACTTTTGAGCTTTCGATCGGACTTTGCTGCTTCGCGCGACGCCCGTGGAGCTCGCAAGAGTGAGATTTATGAATTATTTACACAATGAATAATTCATCGTTGGAAGATTGGTACATTCGCGACACTCGATCGCGCCTGATATGCAATTTGAAAAGGAGTTTGCGAGAGAGAGGTACCATAAGCGCGCACATGCGAAACACATTATATTTAAAAATTTGCCGTAAATATATCGTGTCGATCGCGAAGAAAGATTCCAATTTTACGAGGGAATAGATCAGAGAATTTACAAAAAATATTTTGAATAAATTTTATGCGCTTGTAATGAATGATAGATTTGCAGATAAATACAATAAATTTATAAAATCCTTAAAATAAATAATATTTACACACTTGAATATGGTATGTATTTTTCTGTACCTCGCGACTAAACGGAGATATCACTTATTACTATTTCGTGGCGATCAAATTTCGATAATACATAGATCAGAATGTCAAAATCACGTGGCGTTAAAATCGCTGGCGTAATCAATACGATCGTTTAATATGATTAACCTAATAAAAATATATTCAGGATCGAATATCACAAAAGGAAAAAAAAAAAAAAAAAAGAAAAAAAATGAAATTAAATATGTCTGTTCGAGACAGACGCGAGAACATTTCGTAATTTTTATTCTCGAGGCCCGCCACGCGGTGGGACCTGCCTCTTTTCCTACGATCTCTCTCGTCATCCGTCTCTTTCTCGCGTTGCGATGATAATGATAGTGCGGAGCGCGAGCAAAGTTCGTCCATCCGGCTATTAATGCGCGTAATCATAGAGCCAGGGTCGCCGGTGTTAATAATGCGTTTTCGAATCTGTCGGAGAGCGAGAACGGACACCCACGCCGCCGCGTCGATACTGCGTCGTCATTACGTACACGTGGCTCACGTGTACGTGTATCATGCGTACCCGCGCGCGCGCGCGCACTCCCACGCACGCGTTCGCGCGCGCGCGCGTTTTACGCTAATATCCATGCTTGATTATGCCAGTTGAGGTGGTTTTGTTGATCGCACACCAATAACAATAACGACGACCGACGTCGTAATCGTCCTCGGAAAAGGAATGATTCTTTTT